TGGATAAGAATATTTAGGACATGCATTTTGTATGGAAGAGGTTGGGTAGTAAGTGCCAATGACTTCTGCGACCTAGAAGATCTAGGTATTGTAGTCTTCTCTTCGAAAATACTGCCCCCTTACTGCGGGATAACATTATCCTGTGCTGTAAGAAATTTTTACATACATACATTTCATGTGAACAAACACCCAGATCCGAAAAAATTATCTGTGGGTCACAAAAATAGTTTTCTAGTGTGGGATTCGAACCCGCGACCCCCGGCACCGACGTGAATTCTTTGGCTACTGTGCCACGGAGTCATAATTTTTAAGTTATACGTGGGTATTCAACGACAAGTTGTATACGCTCTTTCTGAGCTTGTGAGCTTAATAAATAAGACTAAATTACACGTTTAGCTTTACGTGAGCTTCAAATGTGTGAATACATTATTTTCGTTTTGTATTACAATTTCGACAGGTCGGGATACTCCTATATACGTGTTTTGTATTGTGTACAGAGATATTTATTTATTTATTAAATAATATAATTTATTTATTTATTTAATTAAGTTAGTAGTTGGTAGTAGAAATTGGCTACCTCTTAAATATCCTAAGTTTAAGTTATTAACTTAAAAGTTTCACAAATAGAATATTCTTACTGCAGAGAAATTTTATACATTAAATGTTATACGGCAACATCGTTTAATTTAAAACTGCGTAAGCTATCGCTTATCCTACTAACGTATAAAAGTATACAACGAAGAAAGATATAACATGCCACTGCCTTGATACGCTATCCCTTGTAACGAGATAAGTAACTGCACGATTGATACCTTAGTAAGTGAATGTAGGGAATATGCCTTGCTTAAATGTTCCTAAAACCAAGATCATATTTAGATAATTATGTAATCATTTAAGGAAGAGAAAAGTTATTGTTGTTCAGGCGTTGCGGGACACATGCCAATCGACTTGCAATTTCTCTAATTAAAACACAGTCTCAGCCAACGTTTAACGTCGTCAGCCTTGCTGCATTTAATTGAAACAAGACCGGTTTGAGCTCGTAACTCCGTTGCAGAAGATAAAATTGCTATTAGGCGCTTCTCGGTAGCGGTTTTTACGGTACTGGTGGTCAGGTCCCCGTAAGTTTTTATCCGATAGACCATTCTTTCAAATTATCAAGCGCATTTATTGCTTTACATTAAAAAATATTGGAAATGTCTGCGTTATAATTGAAGTGGAGCAACCGTCTGCTTTCATTTCGGCTAAATAAAATGAGTAATAATTTAATATTCATAGGCTTCGGACAGAGGAGAGCGTACAGCTTTCGTAGCGGAAAACTTACAAGTGTATGTATTAATTCTGAACATCATACGTGTGTTTATACATTCTTATTTGTACGAACAAGTTCAAAGTATTATTAATTGAATAATATGCAACCATTTTTTATAATCCTCTATGGTATGAAGTATTAGTATGGTATGAAGTATGATATAAAGTATCAAATAATACTGTTATAGCCGGTGCTTGAAAACCAATCTTATATTAGTTTATAATTTGCAATCTGTGCCCGTGTATTCGCCTGCATGTATGACGTACTTATCAAACTATTTTATTACGTATTTAAAACACAAAAAACACAAACGTTTACTTAAAAAGAAGGTAATCCGATATCCTGAATATTATTTAGTAAACAGGAAGTAAACGGTCACATGGTTAGGCGGACAAACGTTTTTTTTACAATACACACATACGGAAGTATGAAATAAATTAAATTAATAGTGCATTTAGAATATCACAAGCGTATTAAGAACATTAGCCGCGTTCACACCTACACGTCGCGCGCCTCCGTCTTGCCTCTTTAGTGTGGTTGCAACGTATGCTTCATTAGTGAGAGGTAGCAAAGCAACTTCATACTTCTAATTTATTAATTTTACCACGGCTTATGTGCACGGCGGGGAAGCAATTTCCGGTTATGGTTTCGTTACAGTCTTGTAAGTAGAAAGCTTTTATAAGCTTTAAATTAAGACCTTGTTAGGTCGATAAGATTTAATAAATTTGTACCGTCGTATGCCCAAAAAAAATTAACTTTGATCTCAACACCACTGGGTATTTGTAGCTTCTTCTTGGAAATTACAGAACACAGCTCGTTACTATATTCTTTATAAATTCTAACATTGTAACATAATTTGTTAAAATAACCTCCTCGAAGTAATTTATTTTCATTGTATTTATAATATCAGCCTCTGAAGTAATTAAACAGTATTCAATTACAGGGTTAATTTGAAATAGAAGTTCTAAAAATATCTACAAAGGAAATTGTGCCGATTCAAGGACGACAAAAACGATGCAATATTAATACGAGTGTCATTCCTGAAGTGATAGCAGGGAGATCGATCGGCGCTCTTTGAAATTTTAATTATATTTATATAGAACCATTAAGCTAACTAGTTGGTTTAATCGATTTGTTTACAAGCATGGAGATTTCCGCTCCCGGTAGCTAAGCAACCAATGAGTTTTTTACAAATTCGTTGTTCCTAAAATGTAATCACTGCTTTAACTTTTGATTATGATACATTTTAATTTAAGATGACTTACATACAAATTTTTGACAGTAGGTACACCCTATGACATCTCTGGCTAAGCATTATCGTTCAGCATCCAGTCCACTTTTGTTGAGTTGAACTCAAGATATTTTTATTCTAATTGTTAATTTAATAGTAATATTTCTGTCTTTTCATAGTAAGCTTAAAATTATATATTTCATAGTAAGCTTAAAGCATACAAAGGTGGAGGAAGGCAACATTTAATCGCATCCAACCTTACGTGAATAAGTTTTTTGTGACGTTCAACTAATTTGGACGGAACCCAATTACGCGGAGTGACTTTGCGTTAGGAAATAATCGATTTAGTTGGAAAGTGATCGCGGCCAGGTGTTTCTGAATGAATTGGAGGGACCCGACACCGCGACACGAATCAACCGTGTCAATCATTTTAATTAATCACAGAAACCAACCCCGGAGAATATTTCACGCTTGAGAAAACGGCCGCCGCTTCGTCAAGTTCGAGCTTGGCTCTCGTCAAGGTGCAAGAAAATAGTTCTTCGCCAGTTGAAAATAGAGTTCCTTATTGAATATCAACGAGTACATTTCAACAGAATTCTAGAGCTCTGTAATGTTGTCTTCCGAGTCAGTTAAAGGCGTTAATCGGATAGAATTACTCGTATTTGTATTTCGATCCGGTTAACACACATCAAAAGAGCATTAAATACTACGTGAACATTTGATGTAGAGTTTAATGATCTTTTATAAAAGACATTAGTAACTTTATAAGGGTACGTGAGGTCATGATATAAAATTTCACTAGATAAATTCTTATAACACTAAAATATAAATAAGAGGCATCTAAAGAAATCAAGCATGGTCTCAAGTCTCTACTTTCAAAGCTCTTAAATTGTTCGAATGTATTTGGATAATATTACATGAGTATGGGCCTGAAAAGTTCTCCAGTTAAGAACTGTGGGGTCTCTGTCAAAAGCCGATTGATCATCAGATCAAATTACGAAAGTGGATATGGATTGGTCATACTCTCAGAAGAACACTCATATGGCTAGACAAGCTCTAAAATAAACTCCACAAGGAAATAGCAAAAGTGGCCGTCCTAAGAATAGGCGTCCTGGAGGCGTTCCATGGCAGCGGAATGGAAGATGATCGGGCTGACATGATCTGAGGCAAAGCGCGTAGCCCAAGACAGAATGCAAAAAAAAAATTCTTTCTAAAGTTGTTTAATTTAATTTTATTAGGGAATATCTATTCCTTTTTACTTAATTTTCAATGAATGCTTAACTGTTTTGTTGTCTTTCGAGGCAAGATTTTATAAATTATAATTTTATTTATTGTAATATTTATATAAGGTATCTTAATTATTATTTATTTACATTGGAATATGCAATTTTATTTTCTTTACGATGTTTGTAGTTTGTAATGTATAGTATAAATTACGATTTACATGCATAGAGCACTGAATAGGATGGAATTGTCGCACAGATCACATCTTGGAGGCCGATAACCCTACATTCCATGAATGCGGTATCAGCGGTTCTCGCGTATGGTGACGCCTTGACTATAGCGGTGACAATTTGCCACATTCCAAACATAATGTAGATGATTGATTCAATCGATACGATAAAACGGGCATATTTTTCCTTCTTCTTTTATGGTACACTTGCAATTTACTTGCATTGTAATACCTACTATGATTATAGTAGGCAATCCTGGTATAAAACTTATCTTAAGCTTATTTATTTGAAACAGTAGGTACTATGTGGGATTGTCCTTGGATGTAAATAAACCTCATTGATTAAATTCAGAGAATTTGATATGAGATTGTCGTAGGACGTAACAGAATCATAATTCCATCATACATTTTAAAACACATCCAAGGGATTTTTCGGGCTTAAATAAAAAAAAAATATCGGTATAGTTAAAAGTGTTTATTTTATAAACAACATTAATTTTAAACAAAGTCATAACATTTCTGACTGGAAGTGAATAAAACGCAACACATCGAATGTTGCCTATAATATTAATAATTAACTATATCTACAATAAAATAATTTCTAATATCACAGATATTACAAAGAGATAAAAATTTAAAACATTTACAAAGCTATAACGATTGTGTAAAACAAGAGTGAATATACAGTCTATATGTCAATGGTGAGCATATGGATTTTCAATTGAGTCTACGGCTCAATGCAGACTATCATTCAACGAAATACTTATTCAATATAATTGTTCATCAAACTAAACGAAGTTTATCACAACTTTCACATGTCTCATGACCTTTTCTTATCAACTATATCCTAGTGGATTGGCACCAGGACTGTATGTTTTCAATATATATTCAGAATCTTTTAACACGTGTGCGTGCGATTGCATTGCCCGAGAATATCAAACAATTTATATTTTCAATGCGGCAAATTACACGTTTTACTTGAACAGTGGCGCTCTGTGCGAAAGTTATCTGGGGCAAAATTTAAAATGGGGAAACAGGAAACAATGCAGCGAGAGGAACCTGCAACAATAAATGGTTATTCTTTGAATTCGCCTTTATCTTCCACAAGACTTTCTCAGGAGACCTTATTTTACTCATTACTAATATAAGTGGATGAAAATGCATTTTAAATGAATTGCAAACAGAAATCTTTGGATCCTTTACCAATTTTATACATTTCATATACAGAATTTAACTAAATTTTACTTAAACTTGGATTATTTTTCTGAAGGAATGCAATAACGAATGTGCCGAAAGCTGCAAAACAAACTATTAGAGTGCATTTATGTATATGATATTGTTTTATATACTTAAATATAAAAACTGAATTTCAATAGTTTGATGTTTATCAGATTGGGTATAAGATTATAAACAAAAAATATATAAATATCATGGTAATTATATTGATATACTCGTGTACCAAGTTGTGGTCATCGCTGTATCTATAAGAGGCAAAACACCTCTTGGTATTCATTAGGTCTAATATTAACTGGAACTCACCTGGTAGGATCGTAACTAGTATCAAATCCAGGCACATTAACGACATTCCATTCATCCTTCGTCTTTGCGTAGCTAAACGAAATTTGATCTCGGAACGTCTCGGGAATTATAAGCTTCATCTGTTCCAAGTGCGAGTGAAATTCTGGAACTAGCGTTAAATTCTTCTTCATTAGGTGTTCTAAAATTATAAATAGATATATTAATTTGGGTGACGTGCCATGTTTTAATAATATAATTAAATTCGTATAAATACGTTATTCGCCTTTGAGAATATCTTACCAATAACAAATCCGATTGATACGTCATCTGGTAATCGAATACCTTCACAGATACTAATGAATCGGCCGCCACTGCAAATGAGAAAAGCACTTGAAAATAAAAAAAAAATAAGTCATGTTCAATTGGCATTTAAAAAGGTTGGGAGTCTCAAATTAGATACGTTTTTAAATGTACTCGTGCAATTGCATGACTGCGATGCGAAAAAAGTGATTTAGTTTTTTTATGAAACGTTACCTTGCCACTGGCAACATTTTCAGAGCTAAGCTGCGGCTAATACAAAATCCAGCTCCCCCCGTTGCAAACCAGAATGAAAACATCAACTGTAATATGAAAAGAAGTTATAAAGTTTTATTAGTAAGAAATATTCCGATATAATTCTCATTTCAAAAGAATAGCATTATTTTTTTCATAGATAGAACACCTTCTATACCTTATTGGTTGGCTTTTTGAATATTTTAACGGGTTCGTATACCGAAGTTCGTCCCAAGTACCAGTCTTCTTGATGGTTGTACTTTTGAAGTATCTTTACTAGACGTGGGACGTTCACATAGTTGTCGTCGTCAAAGTGGCAGAACCATCTGTAATCAAGTGTAGTTAGTTAATGAATCAATGAATCAATATTTTATTTAGCTTCAATAAATAACATAATTGTGTTAACAATGAAATGAAAATATAACGAAAGGAATGTATATTGTTTTCTTGATTTTACGCGAATATTATACATATTAATTGAAACTAGTTTTGCGGATCTTACGGATCTGCTTGGGATCCCATAATTTATAAAATTAAATCCAGGCACACCAACACCCAGACCTCAAGATACCATAAGCTCATTCTGCGTGAATCGGAATAAAAATATACAAAATAATTGACGGTAGCCGGGTTTAACAATGACATCAAGACATATATAACATACATAACATAACATATATAACATCAAGACATAACAACTTAGTCTGTCCCGTGACCATGAACACTGGAAAGGGTTCCGAACGTCGGGAGTTCAAATCAAAATAAAAAACGCGAAAAATCCGTAAACTACCGTAGTTTCATTTAATATGAAAGAAATCTAACTAAATAGGTATTCTACTCAGCACGATTATCCTTACGTACCAAAAATTTACTAATAAATAACGTACTGGAACTATGTTTAACAAAAGCGGGTTAATTTAAAGACAATAACACAATAACTACTAAAAAAAAATTAAATCTTCTAGTAGGGGCCAGTAAACAGAATAAGAAGAACAAATTAACCACGTACGAACGCTTACCTCTCAAAAAGAGAAACAATATATGGACTACAATTTTGATATCGACTAATCTGAATTTTAGTCCATATATCACACCAACTAGAAAAGTTATCGAGTAGCCAAAGTTTACTATTTCTACATATGCGAAGTTGTAAGAATTTAATATAGCTACTAGTAAGATAATGCAATTATGTACAAATGAAATATGAATAATGATGAGTGTAGCAATATATTTTACGTTATGTTCACATTTGTTGCAAGTGTAGCTATGTTAGAATGAATGATTGCCCCAGGTGCAGCTAAATAATTATCGCCACGGTATAATTTGCCAGCATTACGCTCGACTCAAATAACAGGAGCTGCGCCCGCGCAATTTGATGCCGCATTTCGCAACATGGCGTACGACAAATTACAGGGTGCCGCTAAATCATAACTGGCATCGAGTTTCCGAGTATCAGATACGCAGTTTTGCAACTAAATTCACAACAGTCGTAGTAAAATTTTACAACGGAAGCAAAAAACGTTAAAAATCATCTGTTTGTTGAAGTTCAAAATTGTTATAATTTTACTTGTAATGTTATAGAGAATTTTAAGATAAACAAATATTTAAAGGAATCTAGTTAAATTTTATTTATATAGAACACTGACGATAAGACCTGCGCCGAACAGAAATTAATAAAGTCTATGCAAAACGGCCGAAAATGTTAAAACAGTGATGTAGATTATTTACCACCCTTTACACTATATATCGTAAATAGTCAAACAAATTAATAGCGGATTAATACCGGTAAAGTTATCCCTTTTGGTGTACTAGTGTATATATAAAGAATCCCTTTCTCGCCGACGCAACCCTCATAAAATTTCGTTCCATTAAAATAAAACCGATAAGCGCGTATTCCCTTAAATCTCCTTTATAAGGTACTAGTGGCCCACCCGGTTTTGCCCAGGAGCAATTCAGTTTTTAAATTCAATTCCTCGTGCAATTGTAAACACTTTTACAAAAGAAAGTGACTATTATTTTAGTTTTTTTTTTGTAAAAGTGTTACATCACATCAAATACAACTATCCTATTATTATTATATTAAATTCGAAATATAATATTATTCTTAGAAGGTAGACATAAGTTTTCGATTTAGCCATAGATTACTTTCGTGTAACTTATACTATTGACGCTACCCGTGAAAAGATGATTTTTGTAGACTGTAGACTCAAAAAGATGATTTTGTACACTTTGTGTACAATAAATTAATAATAGTTAACAATATATAGCTTTCATACAACTGAAATAATGAATAAATTAAAAACTTTCCAAGTAGGTGCAGTGTCCAGAGATTTTACTCTTCATATACGCACGTCAAATTTTTCTCTTTTAAGTCAAAACATAAAATAATTTAACAAAGAAAAAGGAGAGGATACACACAGCCCTTACAAAAACAGTGGCTGGACGCTTAAGTAAACGCGTGAAAATCATTGTGCCCAAAATAATATTGACCTTGCTCTTCAAAAACCATTAACGAATTTTTTGTATATTTAAACTTTGAAGTTGGCATCGAAACCTAAAAACCTTTGTGAAAACATTCAACTTTTGGGATTTGTATCATGCCGAGAGATGTATTAATATAAAAGTTGCTCATTTAGTGCTCAAGTTTATACATGAAATAGAATAAGACATATTTGAAAAATAAAATTCTAGAAAAAGTAAATTTTAAGAACATGGGCCAAAAATTTACGTTATAAAATAAATATTTTAATGTGTCATAGTTATGTTTTCTTATTTATTGCGAGAAATTAATGAAGCCAAATATATTTTATAATTAGCCTAGTATGGTCTTTTCTTTCGTCTTAAGCTTTCGTTTATAAAATACATGATACTTATTTATTTAGAGCAACCTATTAAAACAGAAGTTAAGAGCGACTGGTTTTTAGTTAAAACAAAAACCTTGTCAAAGAAGGAGCTGCCTAGTTGGAACTGTTTGTTACCTTATTAGTTTAAGCAGACACAACACAGGAATGTGCATTTTAATTTTTATTTTAAAGTGAGACGTCCGATTATAGTCTGTTTTGTATTGGACAAGTGATTTTTAGTTAAATAAAACTTATAGGTAGTAATAACCTCATTATGAAAGTCAAGTCTGAATTTCTTTGTAGCATTCGCACCCGCGTCTCCGCCCAAAAGCTTTAACCAACTAAGCTAAGCAGACGATAACCTCACGAATCTCTCAACATCTCCTTTTTAATTTAATTTAGCAATCTAGTTTCTTGTATCTTGTATTAACTGATGTTTGTGTTTTCAATCCCGAGACTATTAAAGCTTCATCTGACACAGAACCGGTGGGCTAGCCAGAACCCACGGGTTTGGGCCCTCCGCTGTGGGTAGGGCCACGCAATGTGCTCATGCGTGCTGAATCTAGTTTGCAGCATGTAGACACTACAAATAACATTTTCCATTGGAAATTTCTTCTTAAAAAGAGTAGGTTCTCAATTGTGTTGTATTTTTTAACGTTTATTACCTTACAAATCCACTATTAACTGATTCATAAATTTAATATTAGAGTCGGTTTAGCTTTCATGTGGTTCCCATATTACTTTCGCCGGTATTGGACCTTCAAGGTTCAAGACCGGAGACATCTCGAAATCAAAAAGAAAAAGGTATTGTAAGTGAGATATTTGAAGTCTGTACTATTTTCTTACAGTATTTTTCGGATTTAAACACGATTTTATTTATATTTCGAACTTCTTAAAGCATCTATGGTTTGGGGCAGACGGAATTAGTTTAGGTTATGTCAGATTTATCCCGGAATACAATCGAATCGGTAGATTATTTGATAATTTAATTCATTTAATTCTACGCTAAATGAGTTAATGGTATCTTGAGGTCTTGCAGTCATGGTATTGTTGGATTTCATTTTATAAATTACAAAATCCAAAGCTAGTAGTAGCCCCAATAACCTTCTCAATAGAAATAAGGATGTTCCTTGGGAGAGTTAGATTTTGTTTTGCGAGTATTTGAGGTTTATCGAATCTAATGTAATGGTTGGGCTGGTCTAGAATTTGATCAAATACTTGAGATGTTATGATTATTTTTGTGCCAGGGGCTCGAAAATATGGCTCTGCACCAGTCTCCTTTGAAGCTTGATTGTCTTTAAACTTGGATAGATTTATTAACTCTGTCTTTCTTGGGTAGGGTAGGGTAATACGCGTAAGTGTATTCGTTTTATATATACTATCGATTAGGTACTTTAATCTTTAGTTAATTAAACAAATAATATATTTGATTTCATGCTAAGAGCCTAAACAGGAAAAAAGTAAAGTAAAGTAACAGCATGTCCCACTGCTGGGCAAAGGCCTCCTCTGTACAGGGGGTATCAGGGCATAGTCCACCACGCGGCCCCACGGTGCGGATTGGCGGACTTCACATATCTTCGAAATATATTTTTTTTGTTATTATTTCGAAAATATGCAGGTTTCCTCACGATGTTTTCCTTCATCGCGGAACACGGAGCACTTAAAGTTAAAAACTTCATTGGTACCGGCACCGGGGGTCGAACAGGAAAAACATCCTCAAAATGGAAAATTTTGTTACAGATTAAATAAAGGTAATTTTAATAACAAATTTTGTGTACGTAATTCACAGCTTAATATATAAATCGAATATATTTTACTGGGCCATAAAGGCTCTGTGTAGTAATAATACTTTACGATTTTTCAAATCGGACCAATAGTTTCCGAGATTAGCGCGTACAAGCAAACAAAGAAACTCTTCAGTTTTATTATTTTAGTATAGATTCTTCTGTGCGTATGTACTGAACTCCTCCTTAATGGCTGGACTGATGTTGATGAAAGTTTATGTGTGTTCAAGTGGGTTCCATGATTATTTATTTTCACTTATTGAATCGTATAACTAGGGTAAGGTACACGCCCTAGGCATATAAAAGAAGTATCCATCTTGATATTTAACTACAGCGTGCCTCTTCCATCCCTTCTGGTACTTGTCTGTTGCAAAGTAGGATTTGAATGCGGTCGTGTATAATTACGGTGCTGATTAATATCATATATAGTATCACGGATAAGCTATGCTTTGATTGCGTTATAATTGCTGAGAAATATCTTTTTGATGGACAAAGTAACGAGACTGCCTGAGTAATTAATCACTGGCGGTGGAAATCAAAATAGATAATTACATACTTTAGCGTTAAAGCTCTCTTTTCAGCCATTGGCGTCAAAGTCATTAAGATATCTATTTTTGATTTATGTTTCATAAATTATATTTAGTATTTATCATATTCAAAATCAAACATTAATAATTTATAATTATTTTACGAATATAATATGGAATCAGTTATTCCCCTTAAATATATGATGTAATGAACGATCATTTATGAACATTTCTTAAAGTTATATTAAAATTTTTCGATATTTAATATTTAGTTCGAGTTTAGGAGCTCCGTGGCATCAAGGAGATTTGATTTAATTACTTATTAGATTAATTTGTTGCTTTATATAAGTAATCTACAACGTAAACATTGACTGATTCAGCGCTGATATGCCTTATTACGAGTGATGTACGAGTACAATAAATCCGTTGAGGTAATACTTACTTTTTACTGCTTTCCAAAAAGTGGTCGTACTCAACGGACATTTTGCAGCAGAGGTGTTTACGTTGGTGGGACGCCGAGCACTTGGTGTTTACCATGTGACCATCTGAGAACGAAAACATTGAAGTAGGAAGTGCCATTTGAAAGTCCCGGAAACTCTATAGAAACGGATTAATGTGATTTAAATATTTTCCAAACTTTAAGAAAGTTGTCGCGGCAAAACAAGATGCTGTCACGTTCGAATTTAAACTTTAAGGGTGGCGTAACTAAAGTTCGTTATGGGCTACACCGGTAGCAGGTACCGGTCCTCATAAATTTGAAACTTACTCGTCTGATTTTGATGTTGGCGGTTGTCTGTGTCCGTAAAGAACCATGTCTGCAACAAACAAAATAATATTTTAATAAAAACGAATGAGGGCCACGCCTTTGCCGTTGTACGAATGAGCAGGCTCATGGGAAAGTACTGGCCGGCATGACGTCTAAGTAGCATAGTTCTGCGTTTCACCTGGTTAGTGAAGTAACTGACCACACATTTAAAAAAAGGAGCAAAGTATCTGCCATCCCTCGGGATGTGTGGATGTCAGTGGGCGGTGGTTATTTATTACTTAACTAGCTTTTCGCCCGCGGCTCCCCCCGCATGTACTACATTTTACACCGTGCTTCAAAAGTACCTACGGAACCCTTCGTGCGCCAGTTGTACTAAATAAGTGAAGCTTACTACAATGCATTAGTGAAGAAGTTGCACCCAAATCGGTTAATCCGTTTCTCAGATTAGCGCGCACAAACGCACAGATGAACAGACAAACAGACAAACATTTTAACATTAATTGTATTGCGTTGATAAAAGCCCCAAGGAATATTTTTTCTCAAATATCTTCCATGTACAGACAACGATCAGTTACATTTTTATTATATGTATAGATAATTAGATCCACTCACACACATCCACACTCGCCACCTTCCCACATTAATTCATTTTCACGATTGATAAAAAAGACAAAATTAACTCTACCTTGATAAGTTATGATGAAATTTTTTTATTAGGAAGGGCCTAAAACAGATGTTTTCCGCTAAGGCATAAGAAGTAAATAAAACATTAATAGGTAGAGACACAAAATAAAGTATAAGAAAATATTTTTTCGGATTTTCTTATTGAATAAGATATCAATTGTTATGCATATAAATTAATTTATAATTTATAATTGTTCATTGAATACAAGAATAGAAAAAAAATCGTTTCCTAAATAAAATATTTGCTTTTGCCTTTTTTCACGAATTTTTAAGCTATCCGGAATACAAAATACAGATTTAAATAAACTTAATAAGAACATAATTCATGAAATGTAGGGAGTAGGACATTTTTATCCATGCGTTTGTCGAGGGGTATGTCATTTTAACAACAACGTGGTCTTTCATAGCACAGGAAGTACCAATGTTATCTCTTCTGGTTAAGAGTCTGCTTCGTCAAATGTAAACATCATTAGTCGCACCTGGCTTGTTTCGAGTCACATTTATTTAAGATAAAGCGAATGCCTCATAACAGATACGGTCACATCGAGGGTTTTAGTACCAACCGCTATCTTAAAGCACCGCTCCAAAATAAATAATAAATAATAAATGGGTCAGCGTGGGGCGTCGTGGGTTCAATTTCCAACAATAAACGCAGTATAAGACGTTTTAATCAGTGTACAAAGGTGCATTTTGCAATAGGCGAACAAATGGTTTTTATTACGTTTTAAATGTAGAAGCTTCACATAAACCTATGAAAAATTATAGCAGATATGCTGCTTTTTTGGGGGAATAATGGACACCTTTTTCATAATTGTGTTATTTTCTTATTACATAAATAAATGTAAAATCATAAAAAAAGTAAATTTACATTAAAATTTGTTTTTACGTTACTTACAATAACATATTTTTACTGATAATCTTATAAAACCTTGGTAGAATTAAATATTTACGATTTAATTGTTCATTTATCTTATAACGCTATTCATGTAAATACCCTTTCGTTCACACGCATTCAAGAAGTTTTAATAGAATGTATCAAATAAATGAAAATCTACTAGACAATGGCATGTAATACAAAAAAGAGACAATAGGAGGGAATAAAATCCAGTCACGTGTCGGGCGCGCGCCTACGCGCCACGCGCTGCGCAAGCGCAGGGCCGTGCACAATGGTTATTTATGTTGGTCCTTCGGGCCGGATTAACGGTCGATTATGCACGCTCCAGATTCAGGAAACGCAAGGCAATGGGCGAGGCACGACCGGCCTCGGACCGTACCCTATTGTTAGCGTACATGTACTTAACCAAGTATTTGAGTAATCCGAATTTATAGGCAGTAGTGGTATTATCGAAATCGATAAATGTTTATCATGTCATCATTGAGATAGTTGTAAAGTTCTTGTTTGGAGACGTGAAATTACAAGCATTAATAAAATTGAAACACCATAACGAAATCTTAAAAACAGAGTGAAATCTTTTTTTAGCTAAAGAAAGAAAAAAGAAGTGTACTGTATGATGTAAACGTGTAAACTGTCAGAGTGATGTATTTATGATGTTATTAAGATGAGTTTTATTGCGGAAAGTTTATTAATGTCAAAATTATAGTTTCTTTATTGTTATTCTACGCAGATTATATATATATGATGCTATTGGCTTGATTCGAATATCGTTGATTAGTAGGTATTTAGGTTTTAAGAAAACGAGAACATATTTTTACTGAGATAGCAGTCACTAACGTCTCTATAGACTAATTATACTAGGCATTAGCTAAAAAAGATGAGTAAGCTAATGTGTTCTCTAGATGATCCTTTAAATAACCACAGTGAAAATCAAGTTTTGTTTTTAATTTGCGAGAAAATAACGTTACGAGCAGATGCTGACAACAGATAGATGGGGAGCGGTTTTGAAGATGATATAGAAACTGGTTTATCTGCTTGGCATTGCAGCTGTGTAGTGGACATGATGTCGCCGATAAAGAAACTATAAAATTAAGATGCCCTTTAAAATATTTTTTCTGCTACAACATTCAAGTTTTTCATAGATGACATTACATATGGTTAAAACTTTCTTTTCGATTAATTACCCCATAAACATTTTATTTAGTGTATCTGCAAATAATAAGTTCGTATTTTAAACACAAATGGAATACGTAGTGTTTGAATGGACTAATTAAGTAACGTGTTTACTTAATTAACTTATTGTTGTTAATGGTAACTGGATATACACATTCGGTCAACTATTAACTCGGTATATTTACTAGGAAAACACCTCGTGTGGGCACAAATTACATTATTATTATAGTGACTCCTGCCGGTTTGTTTTGTCATTACATATTTATATAAGACAAACTAATTAGAATCGTATTATACCTAATTAACAGGTTGTTATTGGAATTCGGGGAACCATATCTGTAATGACAAAATTTTCCTTTATTTCTATCGATTCCGCCAATCCCGAAGATGAGTATCGGATTTACTAAAATATGGGATTTTATCTATTGTGATTAAGAGAAAATTAATAGATACAAAGTACGTATCGATTAATTTTCTTTTCGTTGGAATATAAAGATATATTTAAAGTTGTCCTACATGAAACTATTGAATCGCTTTTCTAAAAACATGGCGGAACACAGTAATCATTATAACCATTACAAAAAAAAATATTTACCTGTTCTTTTGCAAGCTGGAACCATGTTTTCAAAATGATCGGTAGCCTGGTATACTGATAGTGTTTCGTTGTTTTGACACTTATGAATATATCATCCAATGTTATGTTTTTGCTTTGAGCACTGTCATAGATATTTGTTTTTGTTACGGGTTCGATCGATAAATCGGACACTTGCACCGGGCCCTGTCGATTCTCTTGGAAGTTGAATGTCACTCCGCCCTGGTAAACTAGCAGACTGCTGTATCCTAAAGTTATCAGCACGGCTGCAGCTTTAATCATCCTGCGACCTCCCATCACGGAGCCAATTGGCGCCAAGGCGCCACCGAGTTTGTGGATAACCCAGCGCCTCGTCACTCATCTGTTTTTATATCGGAACACCACTTTAGTCTTTTATAGGTAACGCATCTCGACACAACCCATCCACGCGCGGGAACGGTTCTATACTAAAGAAAAATGTAAATGTAACACAGACAGCTAACGTACGCCCGCGCCTCCCCGGGTCTGCCCCACCACGTGGTGTGAACGAGAGCACCGATCGCTCGATCCCTGTCTTACTTAAGGCGTATACCTGCGCGTGCGCCTGTCCACTGCGTGCACCCAGGCCCTGCACCATCATCGGCAGCGACACCCGTGTCAATGGCTCACTTAGTTGTTGTCTTCAAGTCCGAGATATATCGAAATCGGTCCAATTTATTTATAATACAAATGAGCCTCGTAATTTAAGATAACAAGAATGTTTCTGCTTCTCAAGCTTTTTTTACATTCAAATAAGCTGTATTTTCAAAATGAAGAAATACAGATTTTCGGGTCAATCTTTGCTTTAAGATACATATTTTTTTAATTACAACTCTCAACCGTGCGTTATTCAACGAGAAATTTCACGATGTCATCGTACTAATTTGCCTCTATTGGCGCACAATACGCTATTGTTGTGGCATTTGAGCGGCGGTGTGATGACTACCTACCACTGTGAGACTCCTCGGCGTGCCCGTGGGTGGTAATGAAATTAACAGCGAGTCATTGTAGCATTAAATTTCTTTCCAAATTAGATAATGAGTGACGAAATTGTCCAGATACCGAGACTGACAAGGTGATATTCGAAAGTCGCAAGTCGACTTGAGATAAAAACAAAAACGAAGCGTTCTTTCATGGTAATAATTTTTGATGTGTCGAATCTTTGGAGGCACAGAGAAAGTTTCTTTTACCAAATTAAATAAGAATAAGTAGTAAATTTACTAACATCATTTGAATTTGTCTGATTGTAAACTGAAAGAAATGGGCCATGGTAAAAAATATGTTATTGGTCTTTGAAATATGACATGTGGGGTAACTAGTGTTATTCTGTTTTTAAATTATACCACATCCTAAAGCTACTTTCGTCTGGAAACAAATTAGCTCCAATAAGGCATAATGACCAATCATCATTCCTATACGGTTTATTGCCTTGTCTTAAAAACGTCTAAATTTTCCAATTTAAATTGATTTTATGCAATCCGCCGACGAACCGGTCTGCGGTAGAGTTTTATTACACCTAAATTAATGAGAAAGTTATAAAACGATAAATTAGATCAGTTCGAAATATAATTAAATTCGTTATCCATACGTTAGTCTTGAGTAAGAGAATGATCCTCCGAATCACTTTAGGATTGAAAGAAGATTATGAATAGTTTAAGACACTTGTGTCTGTGTCAGTCACAATTATGCCCGGTTTCTGAAACACTGATAATCCTAGAAATTAACTAATCAATTGGCAGTCTTGGTCTCAATTGTCTTTTGGGTTGCCATAAAAGGTTTAGATAAGTAAAAGTTGATCAGAACGATCAGAATGATCAATTCAAACAATTTGAACATCCTTTTCGCAACTCAAAAGACAATTGAGACAAAGACGTTTGCCAGCTAATTAGTTAATTTCTACGATATTCAGTATTTCAGAAAAAGGGCGTTATAATACTTAGAACTTTTGACCGTCAAAACAAAACAAAACAGATTGAAAATATTTGGTGCTTTGCGGTAAAACTTAAATTATTTAATAATATTTTTTGTTTTTACTTTTGTTTCTTGTAATTTTCCGGATTTTGAATAACCACAGCAGTTTTTGCGTGGAAAGAAACGAGTTTATTCTCATAATATTTTTGTTGTTTTATCAAAATGTGGCTGTAGAATTTATAAAATTATATTGTATTGTTCACGATATATGATTCCGTCAACGCATGATTTCTTTAAAGGATAATTAGATAGTTTAGACATAACGAAATATTTGCGATGAAATCGATTTAAAAGATGATAATTTCTAGTTTTACAATGGTTGACTGATAGATAATGCTAACGGCGTTAAATTCGCCCTATGTAGATTCGCCAGGCAGACCGCGGACTTTCCCTTGCATTAATTGCGGAAAGCGACAATGACGCGAACTGGTAGCTTGAAGGCAGTTCCATAACTAATTGCGGATGCGTGCAGTAATAGGCACCGCACAAGCCAAAGGCGGCCGTGGGAACTGTGCTATCCCGACATTTCGACCGTTTTTAGCTTTTTAACCGACTTCAAAGGGATTCGACGACTTCTCAATTTGACTGTATTTTTTCTTTTTATGTTTGTTACCTCATAACTTTTGCCTGAGTGAAGTGATTGTGATGATTATTTTTGTATTTAAAAGCTTGTACTTTCCTTATAATCCCATATTAATATCATTGGTATTGGATCCGGACATACTTAGGGAACTCCTGAAAATCAATTATAAAATGAATACAGAGCGAGATATTTGAATTCGGATTTGTTTTTCGTTGGTAAAAAAATGGTTATTTCGTCATTTCTACACGGGTTTTCTAGCGGTCGGTGAAGTGATGAGTGTAACAGAAGCTCATCTGTTCACTATCGTTCTGGTGATGAATAAACGAATTCGATGATTTCTAAAATTATTAATCGTATTAAAAAATTAAACTATTTTTTCATAAGAATATGTTACATAGTTTCATTAAATAGTAATTTATTATATGGTTATAACAGTCTTTATATGTATTGTACTGTACTTATAAATATAAAGAACGTTAAAAAGATATATTATAAATTATATATGATATATTATATATTATTATATAAGATATATTATATATTATAAAGATTATCCTGGACATTATTTTTATTTATTTCCATACTGTACAAGCATATGTATGACCCAGAGATAATTGCTTTCGGATTGGTTGTAATTAGATGTGTTTTGTATTTGTAAAAAATCTACAAATCAAAAAAAATAATGGTCAAATTATTAAAGTTCATATTTTTATTATCTTCAACATTTGACTGAGTACAGAGCTTATCTTTTAAACTCGTCTGACGTAAGCAGAAAACGTTATTTATTCCAGAAAGTAGAAAGGATCGCACGGATTTTCAGGTTCATGGAGTAAAAAGGAAAAAGATGAAATAACCATGCATCTCATTGCCGTATGGGGTAGGAAGTATTTTAAGTAAAAATAAACTTTGAATAAATATGTTTTTTTCTTACGTTTAACTTAGCTTATTTTAGCATTAAAGATTTAATATTTTTTTCATTTAACATTTTTGCATGGAGTCTACATTGCACTGATTTGTGATCTTTAATGTGATCATACTAGATTCAGTTACTTTTCACATTGAATTAATAAAGCTCAATAACAGGTGTTTTTCAGTTATTTATTCATCATTAATATAAAAGAGTTACTTGGAATGAAATACCGCTGTTGTGTAATTACTTTAAGGATGCACATTTACATTTAAACATTTACAACCATTTGGCACCACAAAATGGATATTAGTAGCCTACACAACATTCGGTTCAATTCGATTTTTATACAGAACTCGGGCGTCGGCGAAACCGTCAGGCGCAGAGGTATTTTGCGAGATTTGTAAAGACATTATTAGGGTCGTAAATCTGATACTTTTTAACTTATTATTTATTGTACACTTACCTATGTAATGTTAGGTTTTCTCTAACATCTTAGATGTGCTGAATGCAAATTTTCAGATAAATGATGACAAAAATTTCGTAGAGATTTGCAGTCAGTCAATACACGGTTGGGTCTCGTGATGGACTATGTCTTAATACTCTCTGTGCAGAGGATAGGCTATGAGACAACGGACATCCAAGTCGTCAATCATTGTATGAGTTTTATTAAGTGGATATCCGACGACGAGATCATAGGATGTTCGTTATTTAAATTTGAAGAGATCCGTATTGTATTTGTATCTCGGAAACAGTTGAGTGTACTCAATGTGAAGCTAACGATACAAAATGAAAAACTAATAATTATAATTTAATTTAATCGGCAGTTGCGATAGTGAAACGCACGAAATTTACAATTGAATAACATAAAAACGCTTTGATAACATTATCGAAATTTAAACGCTTTACGCTTTCCCTGTCGGTTACCAAAATTTCTCCATTTAATTTTAACCTAGCATTACCCACTTATTTTAAGTGTCTGAACACTGAATCAGTGTTTACAACTGAATGCTGTTAAAATAGCATTAATGTTCCATGATCAAATAGTTAAATCAGACTTGTCTGATTTTATAACGTCTGTTATTTTTTTTGACTGTAATAATATGACGACCAAATAAAATATAAAATAAACCGTTGCTTCAAATCAATACTATTGATAACATTAAGAATTTATTATCTCACCAAATAAGTTTACAATTGATGTGGTTATAAAGTTTAGTCGTGCTAAATAATGCAGACGTATAAAGATTATTTTCACCGCGCAATTCAAATGTTATAATCAAATTCTTTATTTTTCGAAAAAGCATCTAATTTTCTTGACCATCTGTTAATATTTCTCATTGCTGGTCACAGATAAACGTAAAATGTGTAGATAAATTCTCTAAAAAAATCTTTTTCCCTTGAAAGACTAGTTAATTATTCTAATAAAATACCTATAAGACACGAACTTTAACATACGCTTGTATGTCCTTTGCTCACATAAGCCCATGCTAACGCCCACAAACATGCATAAACTTCAGGTAATTCAAAAGGCGTTAATCGTAAAAGACGACTAAAGGGGAAACAGACTGACGCAAGGCAAGATGGTGAGGGAATCGGAGAATGTTTATCCTTCTCAGAGGCGTTCTAATACGAAGTACCGGTGCGGAGGGGACATAGGTACGTCGGACCCACCGAGGGTCCCGCTAGGTCAAAGCATACCCACAGATAGTGCTAACACACGTATCCCATTAGTTTGTCCTCACCTACGGGCACGGCGAAACCAACACAATGCGTCCATATGTACACCCGCTGTCCATGGCGGTTCTAACAGCCAGCTGCCAATTTATTCAGGCAACTGCCATCGGGTACACAGTCCTTTTCGTACTTGACATAGGTATCCTCCGTTTAAGACAATGCATGTCAGAGCGCATGCGTGTCCCTTCTCGGCGCGGAGGGTCGTATCAAGATCATGTGGCTACTGGCCAACCCAGAACTTCTGAATACAATAAAGCTGAAAGGAAAAATCATCAGTTAAGGTGAAGTAAGTTTGGACACATATCCGGAAGACGCAGATTCATATCCTCGTAGTGGCGATAAAATTATGGGCGATAAAAATTTTTTTCGCTTTTTCTCTAATGAAACTATGTGTAATACCTAT